ACTGTCGATACGTTTTCTCCCAACGACGATTATCGAAATAACGCGATTATTATGTCCTGCGCTATTCCTCCTAACGAAAAAGTAAACTAGAAAAAACAAACAATAATTATAATTATATATATATATATTTCCAAGACGATAAGAATAGACGATTGTTACGTTTTTGCTTCTATTCATGTTAGAGTAGGAAGATGTATCATTGTGATTGTCATTATTACTGTTATTATTATCGTTCGTCATGACACTTCATTATTTTGAGATAGCTTCTCCGCAAAATGCTCAAATAAAGATACGTTTTGTTATTGATTATGTTAGCAATAAAAAAGCATTAAAAATTAAAAGTGTACATAAAAATTACATATCAGTTTCTTTTTTTTTTTTTTGGTACGTATGCAAAATTTGTAAAATACACAAGGAGAAAATAACATTTGTTGCGTCGAACCTCAAGTAACGTAGGAGTCGTGTATATAAATCAGTAAATCAGATTCTATGTTACGTACGTTAGTAGATTTGCAACTGTTTGTATTTCTTTGAGTGCGTCCAGTCTGAAGGAAAATCCGAAATGTTTCTTCTCTTTCTCTTGTACGATATTAAGAGGGAGAAACATTTGTAGTTGCTATCTTGTTTTTTGAATTGATAATGTCTATATTATAGCATACACTTAGAGAGATATTATATTGTTGTTAAGAGTGATAATTCGTTGAAGAAGAGATAAAAAAGAAAAAATGTTAAAGATAAGCCATATATATATACATATGTATATGTACATAAGAGAGGATTAACAATGTTTTGTTACTGAACAATATTTTAATGTTCGTAAATGTGATTGTGTTTGCGAACCGATACCGTTCGATAGTAAAACCGAAAGTCTAACGTAGCTTTTTAGTTTTTATACTATTCTTGTCTTGATGTTACTCACGAACTAAGATTCTAATTTTGCGTCTCTTGGTTCGTATCGTTTTGTAAGACGATAATTCGATGGCTCAGGTTTCTTGAGAACTAGTCTAAAACATTTTTGATAAGTCCTATTTTTGTATCCGCGTTGAATCGATGAGTCAGAGATCCAGAGATCTGCATGGATTGGTACTGAGTGAATTTTCATTTTTTTTGCTTCCGTTTGATTTGTAACCGTTTCGATTATCAATAGAGACGAAGAAGCTGTGATTTCCTTCTTTTTTTTTTTTTTTTTAATTTGCGCGTATCGTCGGCTGAGTCTGAATATTTGGAAAGAAAAAAAAAAAAAGAAAAATATGCCTTCGCTCCGAAATATCTCGTCGAGTAATCTCTTTGTTATATTCTACATCTCTTCAACATCCGAATCTTAAAGTACAAACAGGCAGAAAAATTCGAACTCGTTGTAAGTCTTGTTGGGGAAGACTGAATTAGATTTTATCGTACTTAGTAACGACTCCGAACGAAGTGTGAATTGTGAAACGAGAATGCCGATATACGAATTGTTGAAATGATATATATATATATATATATATGTATATGTATACACATACATATATGAATTCATTAATAAAGTCAACGAATAATATTTTTGTATTCTTGAGTCTATTTTGAAGCTTGCGTTTATATATCAATTACAGCAATTATGATAATTAGCATTCTAAGTCTCTAACCCTTTACTCCGCCTTTTCTTCCTTTGTAACCAGTCCCACCCGACGTGCAGGCTGAGCAAGTGCAAGAGACTGGCACAGCGATTTGTTTCTTGAACGTTCGATAGTTTTCACAAGTCAATTGGACAATCAGAGGCTTAAACTCCGTTGGTTGACAGCATTGGCAATTGAGTACCTGATTCCAATTGTCTGTTGATCAAAGCAACAATACACATTGTTAGAAACTCCTTTCGACCAAAATATTTTGATCTACAGCATACTATGTAGCTCGTTTATACGTGTACATATTTATCTGACTTTACCTGTGTCGAAGTAGGTACTGGATTCACATTTGCCACGGCACTCGGTGACTCCGTCGATGGGCTCCAAATTCTTGCAAACGCCGTGTCCTCGATGCTTGATGCTGAATATACCGATGGTGCTTTGCAGCTCCAAGACATCAGCAGCGCAAGAGTCAACTTTCTGATTATGCGCCGTGAAATTGCACATCTTGCAGCAGTTTTGTACGTAAATCGAGGTCGGTGGACAATGGGTTACGTCAGGGCAGACCACAGAACTGCTGCTGACGACTAGTTGATCCCTCTGAGCCATGCAAGAAAACGAGGTGCAATTATCAGCGGAGGACCAGGTTGCATCAGGCTTGTACAACGTGTCCCCGACGACGCAGTAAGCCTGCTTGCATTTTCCACAACATTCAGTCTCATTCTCCTCGTACACCCAGCCAACGGAGCAATTTTTGTTGCAAACTTCTGTGTCCTTGTATTTTGTCACGGTGTCGTCCAGCATGCAGACCTCCGTGACACATTTGTCATCCAACGATTTCCATTTCTCTCCAGGCCTGTACACGGTGCCGTTATGACGACACGCGACTTTAACAAACTGCGGGCAACACTGGCCTGGGATATTCCGCTTTTCTATCTCAAATTCAGCCGCGTCTCGAGCGTCTATCTCTGGACATTTTTCTGTAAGAGATTCCACGTAGACACGCTCGTTGTTGGACTGGCAAGAATACTTGGTGCAAAAATCAGGAGAGAGTAACTCTTCTCCTACATTTATCACTCTGTCGTTGACCACACAAGCTACTGGCACGCATCGTCCGCAGCAAGCGGTGCTTCTGTTATCCGTCGGCTGATATTCAAAGCCAGGATCACACGCAGTCACGCATTCTTGCACCTGCACCTGTTTCTCCACTCCGTTCTCGTCCCTGATACATTTTACCATGGTGCAACTGTCTTCGAGATTTGGTTGCCAGACGTCGTCAACCTCGTAAATCTTGTCTCCATCCTTGCAAGCTGTTCTCTCGAAACTAGGACAACATCTATCCTTTACGAGAACCTCCTCCACGACGAAGTCAAATACATCTGGGTGATCTACTGCTCTGAGACACTCTGTGGTGAAGCACTTTGGCTTGGGCCCCTTCTCGGAAGGCTCGCAAATGCAAGAAATGCACTTTCCATCCGTCCACTGTTCCCCGAGTTTCTTTGCTACTATGTGTTCCGACATTTCAATCTTACTCTGCGATTCGACGTTATACAGGCATAAATCCTTTGGTGGTACGCACTCGTACGTGGCGCAACAAGCGTCCCGCTTCGTATCAGTCTTCAACTCGTGATATTCTGGACAAGATGGTACTGAGGGGCAAGTTTTAGGATCGCAGATAGCCATAGATTTTGGACAACAGCCAGAGGTATTCGTCACCTGCACGAAGCCAGGTTCTAACTCCTCGACTTCTGGCGTGACGTCGTTGAGAACAGGACATTCTTCAGGTGGTACACACTCGCAGATGAATTTCTTGCATCCGTAGGAATCTGTGGATATTTTTGTGACCTGTCCGTAGCCACACTCGGGAATTTGAGACTCCTCGGTGCATAAGGGTGCCACGGTGGTCACCGACTTTGGAACGCAAATGTATTTAACGCAACAGTCTTCTTGTGTTCCATTAACGGCCACAGGTGCCATGTTCTCTTCGCAGATAGTGTCCACTGCCGGGCACTCGGTTCTCTCGCAACTGATAACCTTTTTACTACAAGTGCATCTGGTGCAAGCATCTGGGAACCACGTATTACCTTCGACGTGCCCATCTTCGTCGCACAACAAGCATTTTTCCTTTGGAATGCAAGTTTCGTTAAGGAAGACGAGGTTCTGAGGACAGAAACAACCTTCTTCGTAATTCCTCGAACACGCAGCGTCACTGATCTCGTTGATTGTGTCGCAAGTTTCTTTACAAGCAGATCCACAAGGTTGATACTCCAAGTCTGAAAGAAGATAACGTTTTAAGCGATGGAATTTAATACAGAAATACAAAACAGAAACACTCACGCGGCGGGCAAACGTAAGGACACATTTCGCTGCTCCTCCAGATTAGACAGACGCCCGTTTGCTGACATTTCCTCGAATACGCTTCGAAGCTGTCGCAGTAGCCTCCTCCGGAACACATACTGTCTTGACAAGCCATGAAGTACGGCATTGGATCAACAAGACTGTGACACGTGCCAAAGTCCATTGCGTCCAATAATTTCCTGCATGGATCTCGATCGGCTGGCGGTAGAACGCATTTGCTCTCATTGTTGAAGACACATGCACTCGTGTCTATGTCAACATTATTTGGTGGTTTTGTGACCAACCAGCTTGCACCAAAATCTTGCATACTGTCCGTAATCTAGTTACCAATAGATCAAGATCATCGGTTGTCCTGATTCTTACGTTTGTTATAAGAAAATGATCATACCTGGCCATCAGATTGCTTCAAATCATCGTCTGGTTCTTCGTTGCAATTGCCACAAAGACCTTCCATAGCACCTCCAAAGATGTGCGAGGGAACGGTCAAACTAAATGCGAAGTTCGGCTGATAGCCAGTGATCTCCAACTGAATTGAAGGTATCAGCAACTGCATCTTCTTCGATGGCGTTTGTTCCAGGGTCAACCAAGACGTATTGAAGGGGAACTTGTACACCTTTGAGCCATCGAGTTCCACGTCGAACTCCTGAGTAGGCACATCCTCTTTGATCTTAACTACGTGACTTTGATAGAGAACTATGACTGCCTCGGTGCATATCCCGCTGTCGCAAATTCTATTTGACACTAAGACTTGATAAGTGTACCCTTCGTTTCCCTTTATGTTTTCAACGACGTCTCTAGAAAGAACGTATGTGCAGTTCCCGTCGAATTTGATGTTCTTCCTGTCGAAGGTGATAAACTTGGAGTTCCCTAGCCACTCGCAAACGCAGTCTTTGCAATGCGTAGGGGGTACACACTCGTCCCCGTTGCGCACTGTTCCCTCCGGGCAGAAGCAGCCAGAGAAACATATCCCTTGCATCACTGGACAGGGATCTATTTGTCGCAGGCTCTCGCAACTGGTCTCACACTTGTTTCTGCAATGAAATTACTCATAGAAACATGTTGAATTCATTTATTCGTTCCAAGATACCTGAAGCAGTCTTTGTGAACAAAAGGCGGAGTGCAAGATGCTGGACAGTCATGCGTGCTCCTCCAAGTAGACAGATCTACATTCAAGTCACAAGCTTGGCACTCGCTGACAAAACTGGTTAATAAGCGACAACGACAGTCATCGTACGTGAAGTTACTGCGCAGACAGTTGCACGTATTCTCTACACAGCCGGATATAAATTTCTCCAAATTCACAGTGCTCGAGCATTCAACCAGCGAGGTGTCCTTCACTAGATTACAGATGTTCCAGCTCTCCGTTTGCAAGTCGTATGGGCAAACCTTAAAAATTAAATAAATAAATTTAATATTTCTTAATGGACACATGAAAAACATGATCGTTTTTCATTGTCAAACCTGTGGATCACATTCCGGAACGCCTTCCATGGCCCAACTGTTTCCAAATTCTAAAGTGCTTCGAGCTTGATTCCCGTCAGGCAATTGTTTATCATTCATAGAGTATCCGTCGAAGTATCCGCACAAACCGTCTACCTGACGAGCCAATTTTGTGGAGATTCCTATCTTCACGTTCGAACTGCTATCCCATATCACCCAGAATCCGTAATAGTTGGACACCAAGTACGTGATATCTCCTATGTTCGCTATTTTGAAAGTAGGAAACTTGTTACTGATTCTGGCTATCTGCTTTGGTGTGAAGCTGTATTCGTTAATGTCCACGTGCATATCAGGGTACAGAATGACTAGATCTGCGTCCAAAGCCACTGCCAAAACTTTAATACATTGGCCAGTATGCGAGTCGCATTGTTTCTCCACTGTAAATGAAAATTGAAAGTAAGTAAAAGTAAGTAAAATATGTTACTAGCAAAATTAGTTTTATCTACTGTGAAACACATTTTATTAGATTGTAATTTTACGTTATACTCTATTTTATTACATTGTAATTTTAATACGCGAAACACTTACGTGTGATGTACCACTTATTGGTAAACATATCTCTTGCCAAAATGTGATTGCAGATATCATATTTGTACTCTAGTTTATCAAAGGTATTGAACGTTCTTCCTGTCACGTTACAAACAACTTCTGTCGGCGGTGGAGGCTTACAGCTGTATTTGGGACACTTCTGAAGCTTATACATGCTCATTTTCTCATAAACAACTGTGTAACCTGGTGGACAAGACACCTTTGGACAGGTCTCGTGTTGAGTCGGATTGAAAACTGGTGGCTTCACAGGCACGCAAATGAATTGTACACATTCCTTTTCAATTTCAAGCTTTTCACTATGTTTCAAATGATGATGCATAGATTTCCTGATAGAAAAAAAAAAAAGAAAAATGGTTTACTTTAATCACTTAAATTGAAACAACGTATTCAGAGTTCTATAATAGTACCTTAGTCCTTTCCTCCTTGATGAATTCTTGCGAAAAGATTTCACTCCTTCTCTCGCATGGGGTCTAGTATAGTACTGTGATTCTTTAGGTATTTTTAAGACTGTTTTGTATCCTACTGGACATATAGGATCTTCGCACACAATTGGAACTATTGACAGTATGAAACATTATGATCAAATTTTCATCAACGAATATTTTATGAAAGCCTTTTTTAAGTGAAAAATTTCTTAAATTAATTTTTTAAGTTAAATACCTGCAGTTGGAGTCGTAGTTTCTATTTTCATTACAGTAGTTTCTTCAGTAGTCTGTGAACAATTTTTTTCGTCGTCTGGACAATCCTGAACTCCGTTGCACCATAAATCCTCATCGATGCAAACGTCACTGGTCGGGCAGTGAAGCGTGCCATTTGGACAAGGTTTGCACAAACAGTTGCACAGTTCGTTGACCACTGGTCTCATTTTTGGCAGTTCGCAAGGATCACACTTTATTGGCTGACAGAAAGAGACGCCACCCAAGGTACATGTGCATTCTTGACAATTTTCATCGATGTAAACTACACCAACATTGTATCTAAAAAATGTTAACATTTAAATGCAGGGAAAGGAGCAGTACATTGAAAAGTCAGTGTATTTTGCTTACGGAATATGTCCAACTATACAAGGACATTCCTGCTTGGCAACACAAGTATCTCCATTCCACCAGAGTGATTCAGTGCATTTGCAATCAATTTTGTTTTCATTTTGCACTCCTTCGCAGACATTGCATTTTTTGAACGGCTGTTCTGTTATTAGCTCTGTTATTGGCTCTGTCGTTTCCAATTTCTCAGTGGTCACTTCGACTCGATCTTCATAAGTTAAACAAGTCTTATAAAAAAAATTCACAACGTTCTGATTTGCGCAAGAGTTATACTTACGATAAGGTAAGAAGCAACCAAGAACTTCAAGTTTCAGACCGATCTGATTGTGCCACTTAATCGGTTGCACTTTCAAATATCTCGCATTCAATGGTTTATCGAAGTAGTTCTTCTTGACTGTGTCAGAGTCAAAGTTGCCCAAGAATTCTCTTTCGGAGCCATTTTCATCCACGACTGGATTCCATCGATAATCGTCGTTGTAACTGTAAAACACTTTGTAAACCGTCGTCCAAGTATTCTCGCCACCCTTGGTAGCCACTCCAGTTAAATTACGAGGCTCCAGAAAGTCGATCTTTACGAATTGATGTGGATTGTCCAATTTCGGATGCCAGACACTCGAGGACGACAACTTCAAGTTCGGTAATAAATCAGTAGAAGAAGAGGATACAGAGATTTGTTCAGAGAAAATTAAACCATTGTCCAGCCCCATTGGATCATCACACACTGGTAAATACAGAAAACACAATTGTATAATTTTATATAGTTTGCTTTCATGCTTTGAATAGAAGTACCTGGTGTTATGATTTTTTCTGTAATCATTGTAGTTGTTGCTGGAACACTTTCTGTCACAGGTACAGTGGTGGTCACCATTTCTTGACAACCAAGCAATTCTACTTTCATGGCTATACCATTGTGCCAGGATAGTGGATTAACTCGAACCACCTTGGCTTCGATAGGCTCGTAAAACTTTTGTTCGACAGGCTTAAACTCATCCACAGGTCCTCTGAATACTTGCGGCTCTTTTTTATCATCCGCAACGTACGAAAACGTGTGACCATTTTCTGAAAATAGTACTTTGTAGCTAGTTACGAATTTATTTTCCATCGCATTTCCTTGGACGACAATTCCATAGATGGACTCTGGCTTTTGGAACTTTATGTCCAACCTAGAAATATGGTCAAATAACAACATTGATCGTTTCGATGCATAAAATATGTCTTACACTTACATACACTTACCATTGGTCAGTAGTGGTATATTCAGGCTCCCAAAATCCAGTGTTTCCATTCAATAATACATTTTCTGATTGAAACTTGGGACCTTTAATACTACTGGCATCGAAAGAAACTTGATCGTTCAAATACTGTATCAAGGGAATAAAATTGTTGCTGACACAATAAGCTGGTGGGCTAACAGTGCTTGGTATTACAATTGTATGACTGACAGTCCTTTAAATAAATATTATCAGTTAATACATAAATATTATTCTTAATTATCAATGAATTATAACGTCTTTAAAATTGACAAATCTACTCACGAAGATGAAATGGAAAAAGTAGTTGCTTCTGTGAATGGTTGTGTAATTAATTTTTCAGTAGTTGCTTCTGTCAATGGTTGTGTAACTAATTTTTTGGTAGTTGCTTCTGTCAATGGTTGTGTAACTAATTTTTTAGTAGTTGCTTCTGTCAATGGTTGTGTAACTAATTTTTCGGTAGTTGTTTCTGTTAATAGTTGTGTGACTAATTTTTCTGTAGTTGTTTCTGTTAATGGTTGTGTGACTAATTTTTCTGTAGTTACTTTGTTTGTTACAGTGGCACACAATGATTTGTCACAGGTGTAATAGTTATTTATGCACTGGCAGATTTCACATTCTGATTCTTTCAGAACAGCGCCAGAAATAACCGCATATCCATCGTGAGATCTGCAAGTACAGTCTCTCTCGTCCACGCAAGTGAACGCGTCCCTCCAGAATTCATTTAATTGACACTGTAGTTTACTCAGTGGAACGCACCCTAATTTTTTAAATAATTCAGTATCGATGTCAAAAATCCTTTTATTTATATAGAATATAGATACTATACTATACCTGGTATACAATCAGAAATGCCATCGCATTTTCCTTCTTTCACCAAGATGTACCTATAATAATCACAAGCCTTGTTGCAATTGATAGCGCAGTCGCTCCACATTTCACCCTCTTTGCACACTTCTGCAAAAGAATAACTCTTCTTTATCATACCATATCAATCAAATATTTCAAAGCTATTAAAAAATGATTGTACTAGTAGTTAGAATATCCTTCGCCAAGGTACTCAATGTGGTGCTGTTGTATTTGACATGGTCACTCGTCCATTCAACTCTATTTGGCGTTGTCTTCTGTTCCACTGTTCCACACTCTGGTCTTATTGATATGACATTAACTGGCCAATCACAGACCTGTGCCTGAGGATTGTAAAACATTTCTCCGCACGATTTCTCTACAAACTCATTGCCATTGAGTCCAGGAGTACATTGATAAAATAGATGACAGTTTGTAGAATGAGACTTATATAGATGCTCCATATCACATTGCTCGTACGAAGCTTTTGTCGTACTTGGTATTTCTGTAATACAAATCGATGTTAATTTAATAATTAAATAATTAATCATCTTAATTTTTCCATGACATAGACCTGGTCCTTCTGTAGTAATTACTGGACATCGACACAAAACACTAATTTCAAAATCGATGCAAGGAAGACCAGATTGAGATTGGCAATAAAGACCACGTTCCAAACTGCATTCTACATCTAAACCAGTTTCTTTCGGCGTGAAATGATCATTCACCGATCTACATTTTATATCGACCATTTCCTTCTTGTCACATACACCATACCCCTTAACGTTTATCTATTAAAAAGTATAAAAGTGATACAAAACTGACAGACTAAAATAAATAAACGAATAGCTGATAATAAAGTATTACCAATTCTAAGGATGAAGGTAAAGGTTCGATGTCTTCAAATTTCTTCCCTTTAATTGCTGGATCCTGATTTATCCAAGCAGTCCAGCCATTTACGCATTTCTGTGGTTCCTCTAGTGGTACGGTAACACTTGATACAGTGACACTTGTACAAGGTTCTCCTTTGCACAATACTTTCCCACGACTGCAGTAACACGTCTGACAGTCGTCGCTCTTCACGCTGTCACCCTCGTAGTAAATTATCTACAATAAGAATATTCATTAGTGTCTAAAGATATTTTAATCCCTTCTTTGACATACCCCATTGATCTCGGTACAAGGTGTTTTGCAAGTTTCTTTGGGAACACATTCCGTGTAACTGTCATTGCTGTACACTTGATTCTGTGGGCAAGATTTCACAAAGCATCCTTCAACACAAGTATCTTGGGAACACAAATGAGTCTTATCCTTCAGTGTCATGAGATTATCGCAAGTTTTGCGAGGACATGTTGTAATGCAAGGAGAGTACGAGCTACATTTTTCGTCACATTGTATGGGACAGAGTTCTTGACTACGCCATTTTATGGGAACCCCCTTTGTATTGCATTCTTGGGCATATGCTGCCAAGGCAGTGCAAAGACAACTGCAATCTCCGCCTAAAATATAAAGAATATAGATAAAAATTTTCTTATTCAACGAATATATAATTATATTATTATTGACAATTAATACAGCAATACCTGTATCACAACTGCAAGTATCGAATACACAGTTGCGCAAATAGCTCTCCACCTCAACCTCGGAGTGGCAAGGTTGGAAAATTGGTGATTTTAATATTCCACATTCCTGCACAGCCCATAGATTTCTCTCCGGATGTTGTATACAAGGATCTACGACGTCTTTAGGCTCAGCACAGAACTCATTCTTCTTCCAGGAATCTCCAAATAGATTAGCAGATACTTCTGAGATTCCGCCTGAAGGTGTTTTGAAATCATCCTCGCTATTATTGTTGTAATCACCACAGAGCCCTTTCATGCGTCCCTGCCAGCTAGGCTCTAGTCTTATATATACTCTGGTCCCTATAAATATTATTAAAATCTTGGGAAAAGTTCTAAAATAGATAAAAAAGGAATCATATAATAATACCTTTATCCCATTGTACAGTCAATCCCATGTCTGGCACATCAACAAATACAAATAGCCCAGCTGTTCTTATGGCCATTCTCTTGAAATTATCTGTTGGAAGTTCCTTTCCTCTGGTCAAGACAATTCTCTCTGAAGATAGGCCATTTCCGACAGTAAGAGTGATTGATTTGGAGCACGACACTCCGGTTGTTCCACAAGGAACATTCTGAATAGACACATCGAAACAATCATCCTGACTCAAGGAACCCTTCGCAAGAACGTAATCGCATACTCCCTCGAAGTTATAAAGTTTTCCATCAAATGTCTTGTAATGGGAGTCTCCCCAAGCAGAACAGACACCTGATAGAACCGAAGTATTAACGATTAAAAGTAAAATTAAGTATTTCATGGAATAAGTAGGCATTTATGATTTTACCTGCGCATGTTCTATCAGTGCATTTCCACGTTCCATTGATGCATTTACAAGTATTGCAGTCATTTTGTATAACAGATTCTTCCTCGTAGCTCTGACCTCCATGATGACACGGACAAGATTCCTGTTTGATACAATTGCCATTTGGTTCGTTCAAAACGTAACCAGGTTTGCAAATACAGCCAGATTTGCAGATCAGTGGTTTTTGGATTGGTTTATGCATATTGCGACAAGTTCTAGGCTCTGTTGGTGCACACTCTGTAACTTCCTGATTATTGCTTGCCACACACGAGGTCAATAGGTCCTTGGCTGCTGGATACTCTCTAATCTCGTTCGGTGTAGCTTCCCGACAGTTCCAAATTCCACCTATTTAAAATGATCATTCACGAATAAAATACAATTCATTGAAATGAAAAACACAATAAAAAATCGGTTGTTTCATTAACGTTAGTACCTGTACAGGTACAAAGTTCAAGAGCTTTGTTCCCAGGTCTGACTTCTTTATGCCCTGGGCTAAACTCCAATCCGCCATAAGTGCATGGACACTGTCCAATTGGAATGCACTCCCCGTGGATATCCAACGTTTCTCCCTCTGGACAGTTACATCCTTCTATGCACTCCTGTTTGCAGTTCTGATAAGAAGATATGTCTCCGCAAGACCTGGGAATATTTAAGATATCATTACAGGTATTTCACATTTACCGATGTTCGATTAATTTTAAATTGTGATGTACCTGGTGCAACTATTTCCACAAATTTGATACACTTGATTTCGTGGACAATGAATTTTACATTCCTCTACATTCTGATGCCATGAAAGCTTTATTCCGGCAGCTGTACAGTCTTTGGCATATGCAGCCAACATGGGACAAAGACAAGATTCAAGTTCAACTTTACAGGAACACATATCGTATAAACAGTCTTTGTAGAATGTATCTGGATCTACGTACCAGTGGCAGTCTAAAAGAAGAGATTATAAATAGCTGAATTAAAAGATCTGTTACAATGTATCTAGCTACTATACCAGCAAAGATGTCGCTATATAAATATGAACAATATTGCTTCGCAGTAGCTCGTTTCTGTGGATTAAGATCACAAGGATGATCCGATTCTTTATCTGGAATATCGGGACAAAACCCGTCACACTTCCATTTGTTAGCAAAGGCAATTGCCGTGCTTTCAATGTCACCCTCTGGCGTGATAAAATCATCCTTCTGATTCTCAGAGAACGTGCCGCAAAGTCCCCTTGTATTGCCTTATAATCAATCCAAAAGATGAAAGATTAGATATAACGTTTCATATGAATAAATTTGAGAAGTAATGAAAATTGATTGAACCATGAAATTCTGGAGGAGCGTTGATGTAAACGCGAGAAATCCCGTCCCACCATATCTCTAGACCGTTCGGCAATTGAACAATCATAAATATACTGCTTGCAATACGTATCCTGATTCCGTGAGTAAATGTAGGAAACATTGTTAAGTCATCTCCATTGATCAATACTTGTCTATGTTGCTTCAACTTCAGAATAGTACCTTTGTAATTGATCCTGATAGTTTTCGTACAAGATGGTACGTCGGAAGAAACGAGTCCCATTTTCTATAAGCAAAATTACAATTTTTTTTAGAATAAGATACATTCATTACGATTATGAAACGTTAGAAATAAATACTCTCGCTAACAGACCTCCGATATTGCACCAGAACAGGGAACATTTTCACCTTCGATGCTGTAATCATCACCCTTCATCAAATAATACTTGCATTTCCCCATAAAGTCATAATGCTTCCCATCGAAAGTAACGTAATGGGGATCACCGACGACAGCACATCTAGCACTGCATCTTGCTTGGGTGCATATCCATTTTCCAGAGGAACACGTGCAAGTGTTGCAATCTTTTTGTACATTGTTCCCAGGCTGAAATAATTTTCCACGTAGCTTGCAAGGGCACTCGTCAGGTTGAACACACCTTCCTTCATAAGCTACCGTTCCTTCTGGACAGAAACAGCCCTCTTCGCAATCCTCTGCATTTAGCTTTTTCTCTTCTTCTGTCCAACAAGATGATTCCACTTTTGGACCACACGGCATGTACACTCGTCCATTGCTACATGTCATGGCTGTAATACCATGAAATAATGAATATTTTTTTTCTTGTTAATAGTTTGTATATGAAATTTAGAGAATTTCAACTCACGACAGGTGTCAAAATTCCTCCAACCAGACAGGGACACAACTTTCTTGTGAGCACACTGTCTGATATATACATTTATAGTGTCGCAAGCACATTTTTTTCTGTCAATGTCCAAACAAGAGCAGTAATCCGAGAGACAAGCTGTTTGCAGCTCATCAACGTTAATTGTACTGGCGCAAGCTTTGAATCGGCGGTCAGAAAATAATTTTGCACAAAATTCAATGGCATCTTTGGTAATCAATGAATCGGATTCACAGGAATGCTTAGTGTTTGGATATTCGTCGCATGTTTCTGAAAGAACGAAATGAAATTTAAATGCCGTCAATAAGCGAAGTAAGAGGAAGTAAAAGAGAAAGTAAGAAAGTAATACCTCCGATATCTTCCGTTCGCCAAGAAGTAGCAAACGACGCGACACTTTTAGTATGCTCTCCATTCTTGCTCATTAAATCGTCGCGTTTATTGCCGTTCATGTTACCGCACAGACCGATCGTCTTGTTCCACAGATTTTCTGCGGCTTCGACTTGTAACAGGAGAGCTCCATCCCATTTCAACCGAACCCCCAAAGAATCCATAGTTACCACGATGAAGTGTGCAGACGTTTCAGCTCTCAATGCAGAGAGCTGCGCTGGAATTGGAAGCCGGTGCTTTTTGGTTCTAAACTCTGGTACGCCGTCTTCGTTTCGCAGTAGAATGTATTCCTTATCCTGGATGTAAATTCTGACGATCCTAAAACAGTTCTGATCTTTGCAAGTTGGGCTATTCTCCACAGTTATAGTGAACAGTCTGTTCTGCGCCTCTTGCACCAAGATATGAGAACATTCACTGCTGAAGCTGAAAACACTGTCGTCAAAAGTCTTGTAATGTACTCCGCTCCATGTGAAACACGTTTCCGGAACTGGTCTCTTTTCCTCGATAAACAGTACGTTATTCTTCAATGGATTGAGCATCTAACATTAATCGAAATAAAATGTTAGTAATGCAAATATTTCATGTTCAATTTTAAGTTTGTCTTAAATTATTACCGTACCATGTTAGATTCATGATTGCTATAATGTTGCGTGATTCCATAATTGCCTTGAAGTGATAATTCGTTCGTATAAGACTTGAAGATGTCCTGATAGGTCCAAGTATGATTAGTCTCCTTAACGTAGGAGTTGTACATAGCTCCCAAGGAAATTACATTCATATTGTTGTCGTATTTACATTGAGGAATTGGCTGCGGCGCAAAAACACCTGTTTCATAGTTGCAAACGTACGTGGCGACTGGGGGAAACTCGAATTCTACTCCAGCGGGACAATTTATAGTACAGGAATAAGTATCATCAACGCTTGAACAAAAGAAGGCTCCGTTGAAACCCATTTTCTCTTCATTGCAAGTATCAGCAGCTATATTATACATTATAGGATTAATTATTCAATTACTCAAATTAACCGTCACTTTATTAAAACGAATGAATTATTATACTTACAATATTGACACTGGGATCCTTTGTATGCCTGAGGACACTGACAAAGATTGGATGGAAGACAGTTACCACCATTCTGACAAGGAGGATCACATACAGCTATAATAAACACAGAGAATCTTTATATGCGATTTAATTCAATATGCAATTTAATTTTTAAATTATAAATTGAAGGTTTAAAACGTACGTTCACAATTAGGTATGGAGACCCAGTCTTTTCTAGTGGGCTCCCAATTTCCATTCTTGCACATGAGATTAGTGACGGAGGTGCCATCCGGGAACGTGAAGTTCTTCATGCAGGATACGGTACACGATCTAACGGAAAAGAATATTGTCACAATTAGACGTTTAATATGGATTTAATATCTTGAATAAAGTATAATTTAATATCCTTAAGATCTCGTACTGTGAGTTGCACTTTTTATGTGCATTAAGCACCAGAGCAGGGAAATTTAGGCATGGTTTCTTCTCAAATTGACATTGCGGTCCAGTGAAGTCTCCAGGGCAATCGCATTGATGGGGTGCGACACAAATTCCGTTGTTTAAGCATTCTGGTATACAAATTGCTGAAAATATAGAGATACGTGTATCTGGTGTGTTACTTACTTTTACTTACTATTACGTTTCTTGTAATAAAATAATTAATCATTTTTGTGCGAAACTTACGTTCACAGTGAGGTATAGAATCCCAATCTGTATCATAGATATGCCATTCCTTGTTTGTGCACGTTACAGCTAACTTTGTCATCCCATTGGGAAATTCATAATCATGTTTACAAGTTGCAATACATCCGCTGCAAGTAAAAGTTTGTAAATATTCAAGTACAGCAATTGAAGATATTCGCCTTCAAAGAAAAAAAAAAATCACCTGTCCACGGAGCACCTTATTTCTCCATTTAAAGGTGCATTCGGTTGTTTGCTGCAACCTCCAGGAAAGAAAGATGATTTCTTTCTCCCCTTCACACCTTCATAGACTTGTTTTGGATAATCATTCAATGGAATAGTAGTGCTGAAGAATTTAAATATTAATTAAATTCAAGTATCTTAAAAACTTCAGAGGAAAATAGAGATTTACTCACTCTGCTATTTCAGAAGAATTCAACAGATCATCACCAGCTATTAATTGATTACAGATGGTAGTAATTACAACAATGTTAAAAAACGTTATCCACAGCACCATGCTGAAGTATATGTTTTTATGTGTTCATTAAAAAGAAACGCTAACATAAACGCTATTGAGTACTCTTGCGTCGCAAAATAAACAAATTAAAACAATTCTTCTTTTATATAGCTACCTCCAAAAGGAAGCGGATAACCGATAACTGAAATCTTACTTGATAAAATGAATTCGACGAAATAATATAGGTCATTAGTGGAATGTAAACCGTGTCTGGGATTTACGAATTGATAAAACTTTTCCTCTAAAAAAATCATACATTTATTGTCATGGAATAATTGTGCTGCCTACATCGAAAGACAATACGATGAGAAGAATAAAAAACGTTTATGCATCAATGATTCCCAAGAATAGTAAAGATACGATAAAAATATAAATAAATAAATAAATATGAATAAAAAATATCTTTTGGAATAACGGAAGACGTTCGGAAGACGAATTAACATTACGTTTTAAAAAATTAAGGATTGTCCTTTCCATTCATAGGAAGCTCATCTATTTTAGCCAAGATTCAATATATCCAAAATTTCAATTCGATATTGGTAATATTTTCAGGAAAAATAGCTTGTAACATATTATGCATATCTTGTATATTATCAGGTACTGCATTAGGGTACTTACAGCTAAAAATAATTCTCTGTAACACCTTGTATAGCCATCTTCGCTATCCAAAGATAGATAATTCACATAGAGAAACATAGAGTGATATTGTTCCAGTATTCTTGACATATATAAAATTGGCGTTGTGGTTTGATTATCAGGGTCATTGTAAGCGTTAATGAGCTTCTAATTAGTCAGATAAAGCAATGATGGCGTAATAAGAAAAAACAGTTATCAAACAACGCCACTCTGCTGTTCCCACATTTATCGTATCACGTAGAGCTAATTAATAGACTGTAAAAGCTGATAAACATTTCAAATTTTTAACAACGTCATTCTATAAAATTCAATGTCCGTTTACAATCAGAGAACAATTTCAACAATTATTAAACTATACGATACAGATAACATTGTTGTACTTCAAAATTATTAAAGTGCAATATTAACTGATATAAAACGTTATAAAATTTGATTAACAAAATCTTTAAATTTAAAACGTATAAAAATATGGTCGATTTATTTGGATTCATCTTAATCATTAATCCGATTATTCTTGCTAATTAATTGTCTTGGTTCAGAATATTTCGAATGCCATATTTCATAATACATCTCGCTAGAAATGGTATTTAAATTTGTAATGTTAAATTCTTCTTTCAAAGCAATTTTCCAAACCTGTAACGGAAACAGTACTCAGTTAATTTTAAATTTTTACTTATTATAATACATTTATAATAAAATAATAATCTTACATCTTCGTCGGATATGGACGTTACTGCGTTCTTACTTCCAAAAATAGCTTTTCTGTTTAAGACATGGAAATGATATAATAAATAATTCAAGGTGTACATTTTTTCTGATTCTCCTACATTAAAAGTAACAGACATAAACGAGCAACACTCGTTTTTTATGGGGTACAATGCACGAGTCCAATAAACACCAGTTTTAACAACACCCCACAATAAAGATTGCAGAGGGTACCCATGGAAAGTGCCCCGTAAATACTGGTCCCTTGTATCAGAAGGATAAATTCCTATTGAGGCCAGATGCTTGGCTAAAAATAATTAAAACTCACAATCAAATTCTAGATAAGGGGTATCAAAAATAATAAAAGACCTACCAAGATAATAATCTTCCTGTTTCCAATACTTGCCACTGGTCAGGCATTTCTCTGAGTTATCAAACATTTTAATTAGTTTGCTAAGAACTCCTACGCTAATAACGTATCCTGCATCAGCTATGTTATAAGGTTGGCCCCAGAGAATAACTGCATGACCCAAATAGTGATCCTGAGTATGATTCAACGGACCAAGCATATACCGCAAATTCTCAAGGATCACTAATGTGTCATCTTTCACAAAGATAAGCCATTCTAAAACTCCATTGCTCTTCCAAATATAATTAAATACTTCGCATAAAAGTTGCCACGATGATACTAATTTGATATCAAAATTTATAATAGGTACTTTGGAATCTTTCACTTGGCCAAAGAAGTATATCTTGTTACAATGCTGCCCCCAAGTATCTTGAATGGATCTAGCCAATTTAATATTTTTTACAAACACTACGCAAGTGACGTGAATATGCAACTTCAACCAGTTAGATTCTAATTCTTCTTTAATTTTAGGTCCATAAAGATACTTGTCCACGTCAATGTCTCTTGTCTTCAGTTTTCTATTAGTCAACCATTCGCTATAGGTCACATTTGTTGATTCTTTCCAACCTTGAAAGATAGTCTCTTCCTTAATCCATATATCAGATATAAACCATTTAAAAAGATCACTTCTACTTGTAGAATATAGATTTAATGTCGATTTCTGACAAGTGGAAACGCCGTTAAAGAAATCTTGAACAGCAAAAAAGATGAATGCAAGAAGGAAACCAATCCCATATCCAGCTAAAAACACAGGCCACAACTTAAAACGGTAGAGATGCATCTTACAGTTTTGACATTGATCTGTAATAGTGCATCTTTATCAAGCTTTTTCCTCGGAAATAAATTGGCTTATGATCTAATAACATTAATTGACTCTTGTTGAATTCGTAAATGCTTGATTAGATTGGATCATTCAAATCATAATTATGTCTTCGCACCTTAAATTATATTTGTATGTAAAAAAAAAATCTGCAAATAAGAATAACAACATATTGTAAAAATTATAGAAATAATTTTACTTATATGTACAGAATGTACATACTTACATGGTATTATTTACTTACATGTGGTATTATTTACTAATAAGAATACGATCGTGTGCACCAAATGACCTGACAACGCGTATACAGATTTTGTTTCATTCAATGTTATTTTCTTGCAATCTTTCAATTTTATTAATTTTTAATAAACTCTTATTTGTGTGATTCTATTAAAATTAAACGATACAATAACATAATAAACTAGGTCAACAGGTGATATTATGCACCTATTACATTTGAACATAACCATTATTACGTTTTGCTATATCAAAAGTTTCTTATTTAATATTAAATAAATTCATATTTAAAAATATACATTTCATGTATATTTCATGTAAAATTATCATTTTTATAATTTTCTTCTAAAATTAAATTTCTAAAATTTATTTCTAAAAATTATTTTTTATACACAAATTTTTTCATTTGTAACATTATGTTTAATTATTTTTGCACTGATTCTTTTGAAACAATTAAAAAGATTGTTAAGTGCTAAAGGATAATAAAAGAAGCTTTTCTTTTAAGTATTAGAGAAGAATTATCTTTATTTATTATTATAAAGAAAGATTAAATGCCTTATCTTTGCCATAGTGAATTATAAAACATAGTTTTACATCTAGAAATGTAAACGACTTAGTATGACGTATATATGTTTAATATCTAGTTTTAGCTTTTTGTTAGCCAGGTACTGAGTAAAAATATTTATATCATACATGGTAGAATTTATACGATATGCTTAATAATGTTGCATATTAGAATCTTTGGTAAATAGCAATCTATTTGAGAATTTTCCTATGTAGATAAAATGAGTTTGTATCTCTAATTTTAATATTTCATTGTAAATACCATCAGATTTATAAATAGAAGCTCAGAGCTTCAGAAATTGGAATGTGAGTTTTAGAGAAATTTTGAATGAAAATTTCAGTTGTTTTGTGGACCAAATTAAAAACTAACTTTGCCGCGAATTTTAAAGAAACCTAATCCATTTCTATTATGTACTAAGGCACCTACACCAAAGTAATTTTCTATAACAATAAGTCCATTTCTTACAATGCAGTCTGATGACAAAAGGTCTTTAATCGACGATTGTAAACCTTCAACACTAAATTTTGCTTTCTCTGCTTCTGAACCTATAAATGACATTAAAGTTTTGCAAATGAGTGATTGATGTATTTGGACAAATAAAATAGACTTACCTTTGTACCAAAATAACGGATGACTAGCATAGGTAAGCCACGGTATATCCTTTGCAAATGGATTCCATTTCTTAATTAATGGTAACGGAGTGCCCTTGTTCCACATTATTCTTATTCCAGACATGTACTTTTTTCTGAAAGATCAATTTTAATTGACTTAATAATAAATTAACTATTTTTACTGTTATACACCAATAATTTAAAAGTAAATAACTTAAAACTAAGCAACAGAACATAAGTATTACATTACAATATTAAAGCAACAACCTGCAAGCATAAATGTAAATATTAACTAAACTAAATGAACAGTTCTATTATACTGCAAAAAACTATGAAAAGATTGCTGTTTATACTTCACACATATGTGCAAAAAACTATAATATTAAAACAATAGAGTGCGTTTTTTTTTTTAATAAAATCTTTTTTATGTAGCAATTCAGTGTACCTAGGTTCAAACTGTGCAAGACCTGTACAAGAGACAAAAGAAGACCACTCTTGACGGCCTGCGCAATGAATTATTGACGATACACCTTCAGCCAATCCACTTAATCGTCTAAAAATCGTTCATAAATTTGTAAAAAATACATCCTAACTATGATCAACTTTCTCATTTATAATATAACGATAATTTCCTATTTTTGTAAATTGATAATTATACTTACGGTGCTAAAGATGAAGAAGGATAAACTAATTCACCAGAGACAAGCGTATCAATCTGTATCAAAGGTATCCAGTTGTATTCTAGTATTTTTAAAGAGATGAAATCATACTTTATCGAATAAATGGCTTTTCTTGTAAGTATTATTAGTCTCTCCTTTTCGATATCCCATAGACTTATTCTACAAACATGTACAAAAATTAATTATCACACTACATGATAATTCAATAAAAATTTATATATATAGCCAAGCCTCTTACTCTGTTAACAGCCAGCTTCCAATGATGTCCCTCTCTTCTTCATTTATTAAACTTTCCTGGCAATCCTTTAATGCTCTGTCAACAACTTCATTTCTGTCAGAGAAAAAGGAATGAATGTCTATGTGCTTGAAGGGAATATTAGACACATCTCTCGATGATGGAACTTGATTTGGGTTGTATGTCTCATTCTCCTTCTTCTTTGCAGTGTCAATTTCTTTTCAATAATAATTATGCAAAATGTTTTTAATGCCATAATCTCGCTAAGACACAGTATCTAAAAATACAAACCAGTAGAAACGGCGTTTTGACTGTTCAACTCGTTGGTATCGAGTTCTTTGGTGATTTCTAACGTGGCTGTTTCGAAATTTCCCGCCGGTCCTTCGTCGAAGTACGTTTCATCCATCGTTTATAGGTTATGTCTCTTCTGTCAAATGAACTTCCGTTGTTTTTTCGTTGTTCACCGTATCAAGTTCAAACGATCCTTTAAATACGCTTGGAACGGTATTCCCTTTCAATCGACAATCCTTGATTACGTTAATGAATTGTATTTATTCGAGAAATTCTGATGAACAGCTTGACATTTCAAGTGTTCATGAAAGATGCCATGTTTGTGGAATCACCACTGATAACGTTATCAGCAGATAGCAGGGATGTTTAATATCGTCATTTTTTAATTTTGGAAAATGTCAATGTTGCATGAGAAAAGGAACCTAAAAAGAGATCTTCAAATATAATTAATGATTACTTTAAGATTAGGATAACATTTAGACTTGGATCAAACACATTAGCACCTGTCTTTTTTTTTGGTATAACTTAAATACGAATGAGTGTTTTTCGAGCGTTCCAAGTAATTTCTACAAACGTTTGTCTACAATTTATTGTGAAGAAGTTTCTTTCTGTAAATAAACGAATTGTTCGATAAATAATTACACTGAATAGACGGAAACTTACGCTCTAGTTTGCTCAATCTAATGTATCTGAAACACGCTAAGGAGAGACAATGATTATCGAACAAAAATAGGATTTCTTTATTAGATATTGACAACGTGAAAATCTCAAGATGTAACAAATCTAGACAATCGTTGTATATAATTAATTTATACATTGCTAGTATGAGTCGATTCTTATTCATTTAATTTAATACATATGTATATGGATATATATATATATATA